GTATTTCTTCTATCGATGGTACATTTTGATTTTGTCCCTTTTTATTTAATATCCAATTGCAATGAGCGATATGCACAACTCCTACCATGGTTTATTCCAAGCGCCACCAAACCAAATGACTATGAAAGATTTTTTTTCTCGTGTTTTTGGGCAATTTAGTTTTTTTTGTATTAAAATCGTTTTTTTCGTTCGTAGTTTTTATTCCTATTAAAATCGTTTCAATTTTTCGCCTTTCAGCCACAAATGCAATTTTATAATTTTATTTCGAAAATTGTTCTTCAAATTACATTGAAAAGCAAAGCATAGAGTCGCACTAACAACTTAAATTACCAGATCGTTTAATTTGCAAAACCACCAGCTTTATAACTAACGAAATCTGTTAAAAGAGCTTTGTAACTCATGAAATCTGTTAAACATATTCATTGCAAAATGCAAATTGCCGTCGGCAAAAGTCCCTCAAAAGACTGAATGGCCTTACCATTTATGTTGGGCATTTAACCATTTAACAGAGCTGCCATTTTTTGACTATTATTTTATTTATTACAAGCAACAAGGAATTAGCGAGGGCTTTGTTTAAAAATTATGGCGGTCTAATTTTAGGCTAACTTGTAAAATTAGTTTAGTTGGCATATTTTCCAAAACACTATCAGGAAACCATTAAAAAGAATAACAATTTCTTTTATATATATATATATATATATTTATATTAATAAAGTATTTTAAATGTATAATAAAGCTATTTATTTTATTTATATTTAAATATAAATTATATAAATTAATATACAGCAACAGCAAAGGCCAGTTTGATTTTCTCAATGACAAATCAAAGCGGGAGAGATGGGTTATATATTTATTTAAAATTAAATTTTGGATTTAACGATAACAAGTGCTTTTTACGAAATTTTGGGACATTTGGCACAGTCGAATGCCCAGTTTGGTTGGATTCATCATTAAGAGCCATTATTCGTTTTCTGGTTGCGGTTATTCTAAACTTGGATTCCATAATTTTATTCGAGGCATATTTCTTGGTATTATAGTCAAAATGACAAGTCGCAGATACTTTCTTAATTCGATCCTTGGTGCCGCGTTGCTTTTTTAAACAACGATCCAACTTAACAGAAAACATAGGTCCAACTTAACAGAAAGCATAGCCGCTAGAAAGAGTGTGAAATAAAATCGATTCATAATTTGGCTGTCAAATCATCTAATCCTGGATATGCGTCGTCTGCGAAATCAATAGCTTTATTAACATCAGAAAGGGATATGTTATTTAAGAAGAAATTATCACCACCAAGCGATACAGAAGACATAATTGGGCAAGAAGGTCCAAAGAGCTTGTCAAAAAATTTATTACAGAGCTCTGTGGGTATAGAAATATTCTCACGTTTACTTTCACGTCTTTCTAACCTGAGAGTACCTGTGTATTCCGTTCTTATATCGGTCAAAAATTTGAAATTTATTCTAGAGGGAGATCTTTTGCATTTATATACAGTGAGGCCAAGTTTGGAAGCGAACCGATTGCACATGGTTCTCTACCAAGGATTAGGATGGTATGACATCAAATATTTGACTTGAATTCAATCAAACATATAGTTTTTTATATTCATTCATATCTCTATCGGGTAGAGTTGTTTTTGACTACCCAAGACATAAAGCGTTTAAATTTTACCTGGCAGTACCTTACGGATAATTGCATATTATTGCTAGAGCAGCTGTTTAGTACAAGTGCAATATTTTGTAGAATTCAATTAGTTTGAAATTTTGTCTTTTAAAGAAAATTCTGATTTGTTTACAAATTTAATGCTGTTCGATAATGAAATTTCGTATGAGAGCAAGTGATTACAGCCGAGATACCAGCAGTGAGGAAGACTTTCAAATAAAATATCGGCAGATGTTGGAAACTTCAAAAACCGAGAAAGGCGATAACTTCATAACGCGGTAAGAAGTGAATATGTGTAAACATTGTTAAAGTTTGGATTATCATATTCGTTTAGAAAAGTTAGTATGAGCTTGATATAGGAGAGTTAAACCGGAAAAGTGAAATTATTAAAAGAAGATGCGTTTGCCTTCCTACTTTCCTTACTTTTTGATAATTGTTGAAGATAGGCTTTTTATACCCAATTCTTACTCATTTACAAATTTTTGGGTATTCACCTTCAAGAGGCTTAGAAGTATATGAAAATAGATGGGCGAATGTTGTCATATATATATTTAGATAGTTTTATATCGATTCAGAAGTTTCGTATTACTTAAATAAGCCGCAAGGAATGTCGATTAATAGAAATGGTAACTAGTCATGGAATTTTGTAATCATAAATTCTTAGTTATACTTATTTTAAGTAACATTTCTTGTAGGATTGCTTTTCTGACACTGAGTCTATCGATGTACACGATTACATAAAGCCTTCGAAATAATTAAAGTATTTTAATACTTGGTCTTCTACTCCTAGCCTAACGATCTCATATAAAATGTTGCAGATTAATTTCTTATTCTGGACAAAGAAGTTAATAGAATTCGTTAATAGAAGCAATCTAGTTCATCAACGCATACTTACTGACTTAAGCGATGAGAAGAGATATGAAACTGATAGGGCAAAGTTTAACGTTAACATGTGTGTAAAATGACAATAATTGGTTTAATTGTGAAATAGTTGAAAAACAAGAAATTTCAAATTTAATGACTAACAAATTCATATTCTATTGAAACTGAATCCTTGATACCCTTCATATCAAACAAATCTATACGCATTTATAAAGAAATGCTTCGTAAACCAATCACAATAGATAGTCGCTCTAAATCGTCGCTGATAAGAAAACTCTTTATATTATTTGTTACGAATGAAACGATAAATCTAATATACTGCCGTATTTCGGTAATGGTCGAAAAAATTGATAAGATTCGCGTATAATACATAAATACTCATATGTTAAACTATATGTTAAATGCGAACATTTTTTAATAAATATAAATATCTTCTTATTTTCTTAGATCTGCATCATCCGGTTACTGGTTAAGTGCTTTAATACCTTTAGCGTTCGCTAGCGCATTTTCTTCTAGTCTTTTTGCAACACACCAACCGCAATGTGATTTACCTCAAACCTATAACCTTTTAACTGTATTAGCTGTAGGAATGTTTTTGGAGTCCTTATGTTTCTTTATCTACCTCAACAAGAAGACGGAGAATTGGCATCGTTCATGGAAAATAATCTTAGCTTTGATACCAATTCCATTAACTACTTGCATGGTTAGATTTATTGCCTTGACAACTTGGCCATACGCTTGGTGTTTAAGTACAGTAGTGATATTTATCTATCAAACAGTCTACGTCAAGATATTACTTGGTTTTCCGTCAACTTTTACTTTCGGGGAAGCCTGCATTCTGGTGCAAAGCTTAATTTTGTTTTTGCTTAACACATTTATTAAGCTATGCGATATAATATTTAAAGGACAGACGGTGATAACAAGGGATTTTGATAAATTAAATCTAATTGTTATGGTAAGTAATGGATTTTAATTTGAAAACATTTCGGAAGTAATGCTGGACACTTCTTTCAGACTACCTTGTTATGGTTGAGCGTAATATGTCTGCTGCTTTCCATTTGCTCTTGGTTGCGTCACGCTTTTTGTGTGTACGGTTTAATCAGCGCACTGGCTATAAGTGCCACTTGTTTGCCCTTAGCGAATGCATCCTTACCTATTATTATTGTTTGGAAATTTATGTTCAAGGATATTATGAGAGTAAGCTTTTGTCACGTTACTCTTTCCTTAGATAATATTCTTACTAGATGGGTTCCCTTTCCTTCAGCTGTATATTACACTTTTCTATGCTGTGCTATCGTGTGCGGCAGTTTGTGCTGTGGCTTGGCAATTACGTAGAGGCCAAATGGCCTCCACATCAGTAAGAAAAATTTTTCATGTGCTGCTGGTCCTCGTTTATATGCCGGGAATTTTATATCAATGCACTTTACTATATGTGGCAATCGGCGCAGCTTTAGCCTTGATGGTGATAATTGAAGTTTTGCGCTTATTGTGCATACCTCCGTTGGGAGAAGTGCTGAGAAATGCTTTTAAGTGCTTTGCTGATGAAAAAGATTCGGGTGTAATAGCTTTAACACCGTTTTGTCTATTAATTGGCTGTTCTTTACCTCTTTGGTTAAAGCCGTGCCCTTGTGTGATTACCAATACTCAATTCAATATACAACTTTTACCCCTAATGGCTGGCGTTTTAACTATAGGCTTTGGTGATACAGCGGCGAGTATATTTGGTTCGAAATATGGCCGCATTAAATGGCGGAGTAAGTTAGACTATTATAAATTTTTCATTCAATCTTTCATTTTTTTTTTTTTTATTTTTTCTCTCGCAGATGGTTCACGTACCCTGGAAGGTTCTTTGGCTTATATTGTGGCCACGTTTATACCAATTCTTATTCTAAATGCTTTATCTTTTATTAGTTTAAGTGTAGTACAATGGCTTGTAGTCGCAGTAGCCGTAATCGTTAGTGCTTTAGTTGAAGCGCATACCGATCAAATTGATAATTTAGTATTACCTTTAATTTTCTATAGCGTTGTAAATTTTATAGGTTGAAAATTGATGTGATTATTGAAAAGCGTTCCATTTCGTAAACATGCATTTTTAGACTGTGCAATTTTAAATCATTCAATATTTTTTTTATTTATTATAAAAACAAAAAAAAAACAAAAATTGCAATATTTTATCAAATATATGCACTTGTATATATATTAATATAGAAAAGAAATTTTATGTAAAAATAAATCAAGAAAAAAAAAAGAAAAGCATGTTTCGAAAGAATTTCTCGGCCCTAGAAATTGTTCTTTGAAGTCTACACTTTTTAATGCACTTTTAAAGACATCCTCTTCGGTATTGCCGGACAATATTATTAGATCATGAGTAACAAGGTAGAAAGTGAACCAGATATCTCATCGCAGCGCAAACGTAGTCATAAACAGGGTTGATCCGCGTAAATAGTAACATTTCGCTTAGCGTTAAAGAGCCTGTCATCTTCCTCTGATCTTCCGCTTGCATCAAATAGTCGACTTAAATCGAGTTGTTTAGACAAAACGCTTATGGCTCTGCTACAAGCAAAGGAATGAATATCAAACATCGTTTGTCGCCCTTGGTTATGAAAATTTTATCTTACAAAGGTAACTAGAGTGCTAGAGTGGTGTTGTATATCAGCTTTCGTCACAGGATGCCAATTTTCAATATGGAGATACATTTTTTTGCTGCAATTCGGATCATTAGAACCGGGGATACAGCTAATCGCTTCAACTGCACGGGATAAAATATCTTGACTTACTATGGAAGAATCATCTTCAAGCTGCACCTGAGCAACTCCAAAACCAAAAGATTCCATTGGCTAATTTGTCTAGAATCTTAACTTAATCTAAGAAATAATTGCATACACCAGCCCTTTTGGACCTAAGACGTACATGTGTTGAGAAGAGCTGAAATACTCGAAAAATATCAATCTGAGTCAATCAATCCAGTCTTATTGGTAATCCAATATTTCTTCTGGAAAAGTAAGATTGAAAAGGTATCTTCCATTGAAAAATTAATTTAATTTTTTCTTCTTAAATTATTTTAATAATTTAATAACTTTCCGAGTTTATTTGTTCAATTAGGGACAATAGCCTCTCTGTTATTTTCCCCATCTTAATACAACATTTACTTAGAAGAAGAAGCAAATGACATTATCCGATAGAATAAGGATAAGAAAAAAAATCCTTCTTAAAAATTTTAAGTTGCGAAAGCGTGGAACTTCTATCACCTGAGCCGAAGGAGTGATATAAAGGCTGCAAACATCTCCTGCCCTACATACATTGTCTGCTTCTACCATTTGAAAAATCGAATTTTTTGAAAAAGACAATTTTTTTAAATTATAATTTTAATTGAAAATATTTATTTATTTATTTATTTATTTATGTTAAATAGAAAAAATTTTATAAAAATGTTCTATGTTTCTTTGTTTTTGTTTTTTTTCTTCTTATTTGATTCTTAATATTTTCCTCTCAAGTTTCAAGGGCAGTAGTACAAATGTACATTTTTGTTTTACAAACCTAGGCAGATATGTGTACGTAGTAGTATTTTGAACTTGTTTCGAATGCGAGTACTTAGGTTTCAAAAAAAAAAAAAAAAAAAAAAATTTGTTTCGGTTAACTTTACACTTAACATATACATACACGTCACACGAACATCTAAATTTTTCACATAAACATTTACCTTAAATAATAGAGACTTTTTTATAACATGAGAAAAAAAAAAAAAAAAAAAAAGAAAAACTTACAAATAAATATTAAATTGGCTCCTGTTGAAAATATTCATGTTCTAAGCAGGACAATGCGGTGGGTCTTAAACGCAAGTCATACGACAGCATTTGCTGTAAGTAATAAATACTAAAGTTAAAAAGCCGTTTGAAGATTTTTTTTTTTTATGAGAACTTTTGCTTACCGCCAGTAGATCATTCGAATATTCACAAAGTGCAGGGCAGAGATCTTTTGGTTGCTTGGCAAGCCTTAAAGGAAAATGTTCACGTGACAATGATATCCTTTTCGGCCATTGCTGGGCAGTGGGACGTCCCGTTAATCTAAGTAAAGCAATGCAAAAGAGAAAAAAAGCCATAAAATATCGATTAGTGCCCGCTAACATTTATGCTTCCTTACTCAAATATACGATCCAATTGATTGGCTTCTGATGTTCCTGGAAATAAAACTTTCCGCGAGAACATTTCCGCTATAATGCACGCGGCACTCCAAATATCTACCGAACTGTTATAGGTTTGAGCCAAGAGAACTTCTGGTGCGCGATACCATAACGTAACCACCACTGACGTCAATTTCATCTCAAAATCCGAATAGGTTTTCGCTAAACCGAAATCGGCTATTTTCAAATGGCCTTGTGACGAAATTAAAAGATTTTGCGGTTTCAAATCTCTATGAATAATACGATGCGAATGCAGAAAATCAACACCGGTTAGAAGTTCCCGCGCCAAACGCTAAAAAACCGAAAAATAACAACAATAATTTATGGGAATAATTATATAGAGGTGAAAGGGAAATTATTCACCTGTACAGTGGTTGGTGGCATTCCAGTTTTAGGCAAACGTTCTATGAGATCAGACAAATCTTGTTCCAAATGCTCAAAGACCAATAGAACCAAGAGCTGACTTTCACTTTCCAAAAACTGGCAAACTTCAAATAATCTGTAAAACATTAGAATAGAGCGATAAGGCTTCTATCACGACAGTCCATATAAAAACGCATATTATTAATTTCCCTCTTCTCTTATTATATCCTACGTAGCTTCTGATTCGAGATTATATTAAGTTTGTGCGCTAGTATGCAACAACTAGATGGATTTGACCTCTTTTTTAACTATACCGATCGATTCTGAAGGTAATTCTGCTTGCTTATCTGTCTGCCTGCCTGTCTGATATTCTTTTCCTTCAAACTGCAAGTCGCCATTTTCGAGATATTTCGATAAAATTTGCTACACTTGTGTGTTTGACAATGGCTCGGTTCGGAAAACTTCTGCGATCATTTTCCTTATAAAGCTTCATTCTGCAAAATCGTTATATGAATAACTGGTGTAGGTGGTGTAGGATATTTAATGGTGAGACGTATCAAAGTATAGTGCTTGCTGCTAAAGAGCAAGTACATGCAACGAGTGCTGATACGTAGCGAAAACTAATGCAACCTCTTAACCTAATGATTGCAAGGACTTTAAATGCTAATAAATCCAACGATTTTTATATATTTAATAAGAAGCGAAATAAGTATGAGGATGAATTAATACCAAAAGGACGACGAGCGGCGCATCAATATCGTTTCAAATACAATGAGCAATTAAACATCGTGTCATTTGAGTGCTGCTGATGAAAAAACCCTAAACCTGAAAAGGATTCTCTTAAGTCTGGCTACGTATTGCAATTTTACGCGGCCGTAGCGGACACTAATAGAAATTATTAAACGAAAAGAGAGACGGGACAGATAGCCCCATAATCTTTTGTTGTCGGTATTAAAAGTGAATACAGAAAGCACGAGCTTATATGTTCCAGCTTACGCATTGTTCATGTAACTATTTTTACAACTTGTTTACGAAAATTTCCATATAATATTTTGGTTATTATTCCAATTTTATTTTATTATTTTACCAAGTGTAGACTGCTGCATCAAGAGTCGAAGCTAACTATCCCCGATTTGCCAGCCTTATTGCCTAATAGCGCGAAACACCAGTCATGTACAAGAAAATACATTGAAATGCCTCTCCAACGGAACAACGTTTCGTAATAAGTAGATAAGCTCAGTCTCCAATTGTTTCGATGGAATGTTCAAGCATATCCTTCTTAAACAATTCATACTCTTGATCATTATTAGTGTCAATCGAGATGAAAACATCCTAATTGCTTAGGCCTTACAATTCCTTCAATTGTATTAACAAATAGCTCTAATAAGGAATTGGCTTGAGAAAGTGAATTCTTTTTCCTTCGGCGAATCTCTTATATCTCTTATTCCAAAAATTGGCAAAAGTTAAATTGTAATAAATGTTGGATACTATTTTAAATAGCAATAATGTTGTATTGCCGTGAATTGATCGTATAGAAACTAATTTAAATATTGCTTATTATCTTAGAAGTAAAAAATTGAAATAAACCAAAAGAGTACGCTTTTAGCTTACATTTAAACATTAAATTCGTACGTGTTGCCATCTTAAAGAAATTATCTTCAGATCTAACAGCGCCATTTCATACCAAGCGTCAATATTAGGAATTACAACAAGAACTCAGGAAATAACAATGACTAAGAGATACTTAAGCAACTCTACTCACTTATACAAACAAAAAACACAAAACAACTCGTTTATCTGTTAAACTCAGAGAGAAACAAAATCATATTCTCACTCGCGTTAAAAAGCAATCTACTCACAGCTTTTTAAATTTTATAGCAATTAATTTCTCCTGCTCTCTCTCTCTCTCTCTCTCGCTGTCACTCACTTTTATTCTGCAAAACACATTTACCCCTTGAAAAATTTAAAAGGTGTGAAAACATTAGGCAAACAGCTGATTTATAGCGATCATATGAGCGATGTATTTTTTAGTTTGTTATTTTTTTATGAGAATTAATTATTATACTTGTAGCTTCGGTTTGTTTAGATGTTAGTAAATATCAGCAGTATATATGCGTGGAAGTGGATAGATATTCTCATAGCATTTCACTACGGCAAATAAACGATGAACGGAAGAAGCACATTTATATATACGAATGTATAAAATTTTATTTCCATTCGTTTTCAAAGTGGGGTAAAATGTCATAGACCTTAAATGCAAACGGAGCGGTGTTGTGTTTACTTATGCTTTTGCTACTGTTAACTAAAACGATACATAAAAGAATGTCTTTGTTTGTTCATGTTAGTGTTCATTTCATTATTCTTTTGCTTTAACATTGCATTCTCATACAAAAATTGTGTACACTATACACCGTACCCCCGTTTGTCATCACAGCACGATTTAACAGTTCAAACATATTTAGAGGGGCTTTTTATATTTTATTTCCTTTTCGTGTTTTTTTTTCTTTTTTCTTTTTTTTTTTGCTTTTCTAGCGCGTCTGGTGCTCTTCGTATTATTATTATAAATTTTTTTTTTTTTTTGTTTAATTTCGTGATTGTCTACTCTATTACTCAGAGTTTGTCTTTTGATCGTTTACAGAGCTTAAGTGAAACTAGAAAAACATTTTTAAAATAACAGACACCGTTAAAGTGAATGTTGCGCTATTGTCTCTTAATATGATGGCGAGGAGTAAAAAATGAAGAGCAGCAGCAGCGTGACTTATCAGCTAGTGCGGCGCCGATGTGGCCGTCTTCTATATTGGATTTGTAATCGCGCAATACATTATAAAAATGCTAGAGAACACAATATAATAAAGCATTCAATAGTACCAGCAGACAGACTGTGTTCATAAAAAGAAGGAAAAAAAAAAA